CAATCTGCACAAACTAATGTCGATACTTCCAAAAAGTAAAAAAGTCTCTGATGACATTCTAGAAAGAATCAAAAATCATCCCCGCGTGCCTCTTCTGGTTGAAATAAGTCGGGATGCTTTCAGGAAACACTTCATTAATAAATTGAATATAAAAACCACAAAGCAATTTTATTCTCTTCTTAACGGGCTTCCTATTAGTACCACTCATAAAAAAATTATTACCTTCGAGACGAAACTGTATCATTCTTGAAATATAAACACTAATTTCAAGAATTTGCTTTCTTTTTACTTAATTGGTAAATGTGATACTAGATTTGTGTCCCAATCGCTGGAATAACGTAACAAGAAAATTTCACTTTAATTGTATTTAGCTTTACTTTTAGTTTATAATCATTTGTATTATTATATTGTATTTAAGACCACAGACCTACATAATTCTTAGATAGTTATCATATAAAGGGGTTTCTCCAGTTAATAAAAAAATGTTTTTTATGAAAACTTATTTATTTTTTATTTTACCAGCTTCACACTGTTTCAAAATTACATTACGACAGGTAAGATTTCCTTTTAGATACTAGATTTACCATCCGAAAAAGATTTTAAGTTTGAAGAAGATCCATAAAGAAAATGTGGTCAGTGTGGATAATAAACTTTCTTCCAAATAAATGTGGACGAAAATGTTTTACTGCAAATACGATTCCTAATAATCCTTTTTCTATCGTACAGTATTTTGATTCGGCTGCATCGAATGTTCCGCTAGCAAAAGCAACTGGTTTATCATCTCCGTTACAAAGTATGGCTCCTAATGCAATGGAAAAAACATCCGTTTTTAAAATAAAAGTGTTAGTTTCGGAAAAATTTGGATATTGCAAAATTGGTGGTTCTACTAGAGAGTTTTTCAGTGTTTCGAAAGAGATTTGACATTCCTCATTCCAATCAAATTGTACATTTTTCTTGCTCAATTTATAAATTGGTGCCGCTATGTCAGCAAAATTTTTAATATAGCGTCTGTAATAGTTCGCAAAAGCTACAAATGTTTCTGCATCTTAGCATTTCGCGGTATTTGAAAATTTTGAATACATTTAATTTTGTCTAGGTCGGGCGATACACCATCAGCTGAAATTACGTGCACTAAAGACAAAATTTCTTCCCTTAAAAATTCACATTTGTTGGATTTAATTTTAAAATAACTGATCTCATTCTTTCCAAAATTTTGATTAAATTTTTGTTGTGATTTGCCAAATTATTACCAAAAACTAATAAGTCATCCAAGTATCCAAAGCAACTTTCGTAATTTAGTCCCGCCATAGTTATTGTCATGGCTCTAGAAAAAGTTGAAGGAGAAATTTTTAATCCCATTGGAAGACGTTTCATTTTATAACCACCTCTGTCGGTAATAAATAAATGCTGTACATGGTCTACTCTCTGGGTCAATTTCAACTTGATAAAATCCTTGAGACAGATGTAAATGAATCCAAAATCTCAATGATAGATGGTAAAGGAAATTTATCGTCTTTAATTTGCTTACTCAATTCACGATAATCGCTTACAATTAGTCATTTCTATTCACCATTAGCATCAGATTTTTTCGGAAAAATTAATAATGGAGAGGACCATGCTGAAGACTTGGCATGTACGATTATCCCATTTTTTAACATTTTGTCAATTTGCTTGTGTATTTCATTTTTCGTTTCGATCAATGAATTGACATCCTATTAATTTAGAATTTGGAAAAATAACACTAACTGAAGCTCCTGAATCTAATAAAAATTTTAGTTCATTTTCGCAATGTATTAATTTCACATGATTTAGACCATCTACATTCAAAACTACTGCATCATCGAATTTGGAATTAGTGCCTTGATTCACAAAAAAACGATGACTGAGAGAGAAAAGGGAAGAAATAAAGTGATGATGGGATTGGCAATAGAAACAGGAGAGCAGAAGCAGGTAATTGAAAAAGTGACAACATTTTTAGAAGAGAAATTCAAAGTAGATATCAAACTTAAAAGCGCGTACAAAATTGCAGAGAAAGTTTATGTAGTGGAATTCGAAAACAGAGAAGAAAAAATAAATGTAGTGGAAAGCAAGAAGAACTTAAAAGGGTCGTCAATTTACATAAATGATGATCTGGCGAAGACGGAAAGAACAATTCAAAACAAGATAAAAGAAGAAGCAACAAAAGAGGGAAATAAAGGAAAAATGGTTAGAATGGGATATAACAAGTTAACTGTAGACGGTAGAAATTTTGAATGGAATGAAGAAGAGGTCAGACTTAAGAAGGCAGAAAATTTTTAGTAAAGAGCCAAAAGAGAAGGAAGAAAATGAGGAAAAATGGAAGAAAACAAGGCAAAGGAAAAGATGCAAATAGGGAAATCGGAAAAAGGGAAGCTGGTACAAAATTAGGAGAAAAAGGAGTGAAATTACTGTTTTGGAATGTGCAAGGGTTGCGAAAAAAGGATAAGAAGTTCAGTGGCTACGTGGGAAAACTTGATGTTGTGGGACTAGTAGAGACTTGGGTACAAAGAGAAAACTGGGAGAAATTAGAAGAGACACTACCACAAGAATATGTGTGGGAATGTCGAGGGCGACAAAGTAAAAAAAAAAAGGGAGAGCAAGCGGGGGAATAGTAATGCGAATTCGACAAGAAGTACAAGAATTGGAAAAAGGAAGTAATAATATAAACGGACTAATGAAGAAAGTAATACAGCTGGATAACAATTGATGGGAAATAATAACCGTTTATAGCAAGAAAATGAAGCAAACCAAGATAAACATAGAAAAGGAAACAAAAGAAAAAGGAGATGAAAAAATACATATATAGGAGGGGATTTTAACGCAAGATTAGGCGATAAGGGGACAAGAATAATAGATAAAGAAAAGAGAGAGAAAGGAGGACCAAAAGATAAAGCAAATAACAAAGACGGGAAAATATTGTGGCAGATAATAGAAGAAATGGGATGGAAAATTTTGAATGGAAACAAGGAAGGAGATGAAGAAAGATGAGGAAAAAAGAAAGATGTACATATGGCAAGGGAGGAATAATGGATAGAACGGAGTATGTAGTGAGTTGAAGAGAAAAGGAAGGGAAAAATTAAGAAAATGGAAGAATAATAAGGGATGGAAAGAAGAGTACCTAAAAGCAAAAGAGAATTATAGGAGAAAATAGAAAGAAAGAAAAAGAGAAAAACGAGAAGAAGAAGAGAAGACAAAAAAAGTTCCTGAAAACAGAAGAAAAAATATAGAGATATATAAACAAGGAATGGAGAAGGAAGACCGAAGTCCGTAGGAAAATGAATATACAGGAATGGAAAAGACACTCTATGGAATTATTGGGAGGTTGGGAGCAAAAATGTTGCAAAATAAATAAAGGAATCACAACGATGAAATAGGACGACAGTTTGAATCGCTGAAAAGAGGAAAGGCACCAGGAAGGGATGGAATCCAGAACGAAGCGTGGATGTTCGGGACAGAAGGTGTGAAAGAAAGGATATAGGAAGTGGTAGATGGAGGCTGTAAGGGAAACAAGTTTCCTCGGCAGCGGAGAGAAGGTATAATAATCCCATTATTTAAAAAGGGGCAAAAAAGTGATGTGAAGGACTACCGAGGGATCACCTTGCTCAATACGGCGTACAAGATATACGCAATGATACTAGATGAGAGGTTACGAAAGGAAATGGAAGCAAGGGGTATGTTACCAGAGGGTCAGGCAAGGTTCAGGAAAGGCAGAGGTACTATGGACAATGTGTACATTCCGCGGCATTTAGTGGGAACAGAAATAAGGAAAGAGGGCGGACGAAAGTACGCATTATTCATAGATTTCAAAGCAGCGTTTGATAGCGTGAATATGTGGGAGTATTTGAGGAGAAAGGGAGTAGATGCGTATGTGGTACATAACGAAAATGGAATATGAAGAAACAGTAAGTAGGGTGAGAGTGAATGGAATAGAGAGCGAGAGTTTTTATACAAGTAGAGGAGTGAGACAAGGATGCCCACTCAGCCCCGCATTGTTTGCAGCTTATCTAGGAGATATAGATGAAATGTTCAGAAAAGCACAGACAGGAGAGGTGGTAGTCGGCAAAGAGAAAGTGTGGTCGTTGGCGTACGCAGATGATTTGATGATTGTGGCAAAGAAAAGAGAAGAAATGAAAACAATGATTAAAAGTTTCGAGAAGTATGTAAAAAACAGGAATTGGAAGTGAATGTGGAAAAAACAAAAATGGTGGTGTTTGGGAAGAAAGTAAGAAAGGAGAAGGAAGAGTGGGCATGGAGAGGGAAGAACATTGAACAGGTGAAAGGATTCCATACTTAGGATATACATTAAAGAGCCATAACTCAGATAGAGCGCATATTCAAGGAATGGTCCAAAAAGCGAACAAAGTGATAGGAATAGTATGGGGAATAGGAGAGAGAAAATTTGGACATGATTATAAGAGAAGAATAGTGATGTTTGATAGTTTGATCAAAAGTGTATTTATGTACGGAGCTGAGATTTAGGGATGGAGGGAATATGAAAAAATAGAGAGAGTGCAAAAAAAAAATACTTGAAATGGACATTGGGATTGGGAAAGTATACGCCGCGGTATATAGTGAGAGAAGAAACAAAAAGTGAGAGAATGAGACTGGAGGCGGGTAAAAGGGCGGTTGGATTTGAACAGAAGTTTAATGAGAGAGGTGATTGTAAAATATTGCAAGAATGTTGGAAAGAAATAAGAAAGGAAGGGGGAAAACATGTTTGGAACGAAAGAGACAAGTTTTATAATAATAATAATAATAATACATATATTTACGGATTTATATCCTTGTACAAGTCAAAAGAGATGAACATACATGCATACATACATTATATATACATTGTACACTTTAGTGAATACACTACTTCGTCAAAAACAAAAAACAAAAAAACGAATAAATTACAAATAATTTACCAGCTCAGGATGGGCTTCACATTTGCTTTAAAACATTTAGGTGGTACATTAAAAAGATCTAGACAGGGATACTCATTTAATAGTTTGCATAATCTGCTAATAGAAAAATGAACCCCATAATTTGTTCGATGATTGGACACATGGAATAAGTCATTATGTCTTACCGAATAGTTTGACACGTGTAGATAAAATAGTTCCAATATACTGGGGCAGTAAATATGATTGCTTAGTAGATTAAAGGCAAAGCATATATCAAGATATTTATGTCGCGTTACTATTGCAGGTAAACCAAAATATTCTAAAAGTTTTACATAATCGCTGTTGTTGTAACCTATGTTAGATTTGTACGCTAGGGTTTTTATTATTTTCATTTGCAAGCGTTCTAATCGCTTTTTAGCAGTCTTATAATTAGGTGTCCATATGACTGACCCATAATCAAGCAACGATCGTATGAAACTAACATATATAATATAATGATTGGTCGCGTATCAGAGAACTCTTTAGTAATTCTGGTTATCAAACCTAGACGCTTATTACATTTATTGACAACATCATCCACATGATGTGAATAACTTACAGACCTGTCAAAATATACACCTAAATCACAGAAGACATCGACATGCTCCAATTTATTACCTTCAATGTTATAGTCAAACAGCATGAGCATTTTTTTGCGTGAAAACCTTAAGATTTTACATTTGCTTATGTTAATTTCTAAACCGTTTATTTTACACCAGGCAACAAATCCATCCAGCTCTTTCTGTAGTAAGGCGCAGTCAGTATCTGTCCTGATAACGCGAAACAGTTTTAGATCGTCCGCGTATAACAGAAATCCCGTCTTATCTATAAACTCTTTAAGATCATTTATGTATATATTGAAAAGTAAAGGTCCCAAATGAGACCCTTGTGGCACGCCTGAGGTTACTTTAATATTTTGGGAAAAAAATCCCTTTACCTTGACAATTTGTTCTCGTTCTAATAATTATGAGCCTATCCATGATAAGAGAGGATCCCTGATACCAGCTGCGTGCAGTTTAGATACTAGTATATTGATATTGACTCTGTCAAACGCTTTGGTTAGGTCTGTGTAGATAGTGTCTACTTCGTTACCATCTTCTAACGCAGTACTTACGAAGTTAACAAATTTGTATAAGTTGGAGCTAGTAGATTTACCCTTACAGAAGCCATGCTGTTCCTCCATTATAAAATTTTTTGTAATTTTCTGCAATTTATCATAAATAATAGCTTCAAATAATTTTGGTATAGCTGAAATAATAGAAACCCCCCTGTAATTCTTGACATCTGATTTAGAGTTGCCCTTGTGTATTGGAACTACATAAGACTGTTTCCAGATTTTAGGAAATTGTGATAATTGTATAGATTTATTAAATATCACATAAAGAGGATACGCTAACGATTCTGCACACGCTTTCAAAAAAACTACCGGGATTTTATCAGGCCCGACACTGGTCTTATCATTTAAAGTGCGGATTTTATTTACAATATCTTCAACCGTAATAACAAAATTGCTAACACCTAATAAATAACCTTGAGGTTCTCGTACATAGTCAGAAGTAGCAGAGAGATTAGAATAATTTGACTGAAAGAACGTTGCAAATAAGTTAGCAATGTCCTGACCTTCTGTCGCTTGAACGTCCTCGAGATGAAGTAAAGAAGGCATAGTATGTTTATCATTCTTGGTTTCGTTTACAAAGTGCCAGAAACTTTTACTATCACTTACCACATCATTTTCAACTTTTTTAATGTAAAGCTCTCTGTCGTTTAGAACCGATTTTTTACATGCTTTGCGTAAATTTACAAAAATATTATAATCGGACTGTAGGTTGGAAATTTTAAATTTCTTGTGGGCAAATTTCTTTTGTTTGATTAAACATTTTGATTGATCACTAATCCATTTGGGCCAACTAATTTTATGTGGACGTTTACTTGCAACGTAACAGTCAATAAGTCTATAAAGAAAATCGTAGAACAACTCAACAGTTTGATTGATACAACTCTGTTCATTCAAAATGGACCAATTAAAGCTAAACAAATTGTCGATAATTCTATCGTACTGGGCATTCCTAAAATCTAAACAAATATTCAATGGATCATTACCTAGAATATCAAAGTGAATAGATAAGGTCGGATGGAACACATCCGAATTGATCAAGGCTCACATTGTTGAACGAGTGTGGTGGACCAGTTTGAAAAAATCAAGTCCAAAACTGAACCTTTATCATTCTTAATGTTATTAAGTTGTGAAAGACCGCAGTATGAAATTCCGTCGCAGACAATCTGCTCCACGTCTTTACTAACTCCAAGCGGCACAAAGCCATCACCATCAGGAGCGACACACCATTCTAGAACTGGTAGATTGTAGTCACCCACAACACAAACTATGTCCTCGTTGTAGTCGGACGTCAAATGTTCGACAAATGAAGCGTGTTCTTCATACACTGCTGTGTTCGAATCCGGTGGTATGTAAACAGCTCCTAACAGCATTTTATTTGACCCATTTATGTAAATTACCACCCATATTTCTTCACGAGTTGAGTACAGGTCGTAGTCAATAACTTCTGACTGAAAGGTGTTCAAAACTGCAATCAGAACTCCTCCTCCTCTGCTCTTGCTACTGGTTGATGCAGACCGGTCCTTACGGTAGACAGTGTATCTCTTATCTATCAATATTGTGTTACTAAACGTGTCATTAAGGCAAGTCTCAGTTAACACAATAACAGGATATGCTTCAGTTAAAACAGACGTAAAAAAATCTACAAATTTGATCCTCAAACCTCTTACGTTTTGGTAGTAAATCATAAGGGACTTTAGGTTTGCGCTATTCCTACGTCCTGAGGTTGAAAATTTACATCTTTCTCAGAAGTATGTGAACTTGAAGGTTGTCTTTTGGAAAAGGGCCTGACTGCTATCCCATTCGGCCAAAATTCTGGATCCAGAATAATATCCCTAAATTCGTAATCCGTTGTAACTTTAAATGAGCTGTATGCTTCTGGACGCCTTGACTGGAGCTTTTCCAATTTCACTCCAACTTCTTTGTTAGCCTTGGTCTTAAGGTTGGTCTGGATGTATGTAGAAATTTTTCTACAGGTACGGAGGGATCCACTCTAGTCAGATGCAAGTTATAATATCTAGGTTTCTGAGACGCCACCATAAACGAATCCAATTCGGTTTTATTCTCATTTTTGGAAGTGCCAATTATCAAATTAGATTTTCGATAATGCCTTTTGTCAGGATTAGTATTGTGGTTTCTGGGTTTTGGACCACTTGCGGCGCCGTTCAAAGAATTTTCTGTGACCTGTTTGATGTCCTTTTTAAGCGAAAGTGAGAGTTCTTTGTTGTTAAGTTTTTCCATAGTGGTATTTACGGTTTTTTCGGTGATAAGATTTTGGTCAGTGTCACACATTTTATTAGGCAAAGATAGTGGTACTTTATCGCAATTGATGATTTTCAAAATTTCCCCGATTACCAGAGTTATTACACTTATTAAAATTTCCGTAATCCGATCTTTGATTGTTTCTAGAGTTATGACTACAACCTCTGACTGTGTTACGATAACTTCCTCGATGCAAACTGAAAATTCTACTAGACTGTGTGGAAGCATTTCGTCTTTAGATCCACGTATCGCTTCATTAATTTAATTTGGAATAATCTCGTGCCTTTATGATAGTGCGAAGTTTAGGGTTCTGCAAACTGTTTGCAAAAATCCTCAATCGACATTTTATTTTGCCTAATTTCAACTAACTGTGCGGATACAGATGCGGCTGACTTTTTAGTCAGTAAGAAACGTCTCAAATCCTGGACTAAAAGAGCATTTGAAATATACAGATTCTTTAACCAAATTTTCGTGCTTTCTGTTAGCGTAACTTTAAAGCTCTTACTATGTTCTTAAGAACATAGTAAGAGCTTGTTTCTCATCATCGTCTAGCAAGGAATTATACAGTTCTGTGGCATCAATCAGTTGTTTAGTGACACTTTCGTTACCATTCATCAAAGGCAACAAGCTCATCAAAGTCATTACTTCACCACTAGTAAATAATCTGTTTGCAACAAACTACACTTACTTTGTTCCCGACGAAGATGGTTGCTGTGGCTGACTACGGGTGGCATCGTTGTTGGGTTGGGTTTCCTCTTAGACTACTTCCTGGCTTTCAGATCTCCCAATCTCCCGTACAATTTTCTTGTTGAAGCATTTTTTTGCAAATCTTTCCCACGAACACGGCTAGCAATCCGACTAAGAACACTATGATAGTTATTGTTATGATCTCGTGCATCGCCAGCATTGCTGTTTATGACGATATGTTCCTTGAACTGCTGCGTTTTTATGCCTGGTGTGTCTTTTTTCGAAAAGAATTCTTTGGTACCAGGGTTTTCATTGGCAGGATCTTCAATGGCAGGGTCGCCATGTAATAGATGTTGTTTTAATTCAATGGTACCATTTGAGCAAAACGCACTCAGCCTTTTAAATCCATTTGTTCGCTAGCGATGTACATTGCAGACTACCCAGAATTCATCACTTTCGTACCCTATGTTAGTTGCTGATCTATGTTATATTAGTATTTCAGTGAATACAATAAATGCTTACTCTACGCTTGTACTGCTAGTCATTTTACTGCCACGTGATTCATATAACTGCACATGTGGAGCTTCGGAGCATTCGGACAAGTTTAAATTTGGAACTGCTGCAATTTTTTTCGGGGAGTATAAGATTGTCTTCACCTTCACATTTTGATAATAGTATTTTATTATTGTCAAAATTTAAACTTCAAATCTGACATTTGTCGTACCAACTACGATAAAATGCCCCAAAATTTAAAAAATTATTATCTACATACAATCTTTATTAAAAAAAAATGCTAAATACAAAAATTATTAATATAATTTTGGAATTCGTACTTTAAAATAAAGTCCTATGAAACTTGTTTTCTGTTGTGTTAGCAGGCTGGGGAGAGGAAAAAACAACAAGTGAATAGCGTCGTCTTCGTTGATTCACTATTATTTTGCAAAATTCTACTTTCTCCACAAGAAATTGCGATATGAAATATGTTTTTAAAAGAGTAGAATTTTTTAGAGAAATATTGATTTAAAAACATATTTCATATGATAATTTCTTGTAGAGAAATAAGGATTTTGCAGTTAAACTCCGCCCTTCGATCTGATTAGGAATGAAAAACTCATCACAATTGAGACCAGGGCGGGTGGGTGGGGCTTATATTTTGTTTTTGTTTAATATATAGAGTTCTTTTTCAACAACGAAATATTTGAACATGTTGTCAGTTTTTTGCTGGGAAAAAAGACTTCGTATATTAATAAAAAATGGGCAAAATATAGGCCCCGCCCACTCACCCCTTCTCAATTGTGATGAATGTTTTATTCATCATGAGCTGAAGGGCGGAGTTTAGTCTGCAAAATTCTAATTTCTCTACAAGAATTTTTTAGTGAAATATTGACGTAAAAACATTTGATATGATAATGTTTTGTGAGAGAAATGAGGATTTTGCAGTTAAACTCCGCCCTTCGATTTGATTAGAAATGAAAAACTGATTACAACTGAGATCCGGGCGGGTGGGTGGGGCTTAAGTATTTATTTTGTTAATACATACAGTTCTTTTTCAACAACAGGGCAGTTAAACATGTTGTCAGTTTCTTGTTGGGAAAAGAAGACTTCATATCTTAAGAAAAAATGAACAAAATATAGGCCCCGCCCACCCACCCCTTCTCAATTGTGATGAATGTTTTATTCATCATGAGCTGAAGGGCGGAGTTTAATTTACAAAGTCGTTATTTCTCCAGAAGAAATTGCCACATGAAATATGTTTTTAAAAGCGTAGAATTTTTTAGAGAAATATTGATGTAAAAACATATTTCATATGATAATTTCTTGTAGAGAAATGAGGATTTTGCAGTTAAACTCCGCCCTTCGATCTGATTAGGAACGAAAAACTCATCACAACTGAGATCCGGGCGGGTGGGTGGGGCTTAAGTTTTTAAATAGAGTTCTTTTTCAATAACAGGACAGTGAAACATGTTTTCAATTTCTTGTTGGGAAAAGAAGACTGTATATTAAGGAAAAAATGGACAAAATATATGCCCCGCCCACCCACCCCTTCTCAATTGTGATGACTGCTTTATTCATCATTAGCTGAAGGGCGGAGTTTAGTTTGCAAACTCCTTATTTCTCTAAAAGAAATTGCTATATTAAATATGTTTTTAAAAGGGTAGAATTTTTTAGAGAAATATTAATGTAAAAACATACTTCATATGATAATTTCTTGTAGAGAAATGAGGATTTTGCAGTTAAATTCCGCCCTTCGGTCTGATTCGGAACGAAAAATTCATCACAATTGAGATCCGGGCGGGTGGGTGGGGCTTAAGTTTTTTTTTTTTTGTAATAAATAGAGTTCTTTTTCAATTTTTTAATTCACTAATAGTGAATCAACGAAGACGACGGTGAATAGAATAACAAGACGAATTGTGAGAGTTGTCAATAAATACATTTTTTCTTTTAACAAGATCTTTTACTGATAAAACATGTTGGCAGCGGTGGGATTATCGTATATTCGTTAAAATCATACGAAGAAATAGCAGAGAAGATATAAATAGTGATTTGAAATTACATAGTTCATGACTGGACCGGAAGGAACACCTAATTCGGTAAAGGTAACGCATAGTCCGGCGATGGATATGCAAGCTCATGTTAGTCCACCAGAAAAATTTACATTTTCTATGCCTAATACGTGGCCCCAATGGAGAAAGCGGTTTGAGCGATATATGTCCATATCGGGACAGAATGATAAGCCGGAAGAGGAGAAAATAAATTTATTGGTGTATATCATGGGAGAAGAATCTGAAGATATTTTATTGCAAGCTGCAGTTACACCTAAGAGTTATGCTGAGACATTACAGTGTTTTGAAAATCACTTTGTTCCAAGGAGAAATATAATTTTTGAGCGTTACAAATTTAATTCCAAAGTTCAGAAACCGGGGGAGTCAGTGGAGAGTTTCATTACTAGTCTTCATTCCCTGGCTGAGAGTTGTGACTACGGAGCACTAAAAGAAGAATTGATAAGAGATCGCATAGTGGTTGGAATGCTGGACTCCCGGACTAGTGAGCGTTTACAATTGCAAACAAATTTAACTTTATCTGATTGCGTATTGGCTGCAAAACAAGCTGAAATTCAGGCTGAGCAGAACAGAGAACTTCAAAACGACATGCGTCAGCGTCAAGTTGCAAAATTGTCAGTTGAGACAAGAAATGCTAACAATGGTAGCGATACGGGTGATAGGAAGAAAGAAAACTCGTTTCAGAATGAGTCTTTGAAGCATCAGTGTGATAAGCGCTGTCCTTTTTGTGGTCTGCAACCTCATTCCAGAGATAAGTGTCCTGCTAATGGAGTAGTTTGTCGAAAATGCAAGAAAAAGGGACATTTTGCTAGAGTATGTAGGAGTGTTATGATTAAATCTTTGGAGTTACTTTCTGAAGAAGAAGACGTAGATCTTGTAGGGACGATTTATTTAAACCAAATTAATACTCAAGAATGGATCGCCTCCTTATTTCTTTCAGGGTTAAACAGAGTTATTGAGTTTCTAGTAGATACTGGTGCTGACGTTTCTTGCCTACCCTTTCATTATGTGCCCGAGAATTTATTGTATAAAATACGTAAGTCAAATAAAATTATTTCTGGCTCGTCTGGGATTAAGCTGGGGGTTCTTGGTACTATGCCTGTTAATTTGATCCAAGGGGACAAATTGTTTAAAACAGAGTTGTTTATTATAAAAAATTTGACAAAACCTATTCTAGGGAGGACAGCGATTATTAATTTAAATATTATTCTGTTGAACAATAATGAGGGCTTATTAAATTTAAATACTATAGCTAATAATAGTTCATTAAAAGAAATTGTTTCGGAAAAGTTTCCAGGAATCTTTAGTAATATCGGAACGTTTAAAACTGAAATGGAGATAAAAGTAAAAGAAGGTGTTCAACCTTATGTACAATCTGTACCGCATATAGTACCCCTCGCCTTATTAGATTCACTAAAATTGGAATTAGAACGATTACAAAAATTAAATATAATAGAACCTGTTGATTATTATACTCCTTGGGTCAGTCCAATTGTAGTTGTGAAGAAAGGTGAAAAAATTAGATTGTGTGTGGATTACACCCGTTTAAATACAGCTGTTCTGCGTTCTTATTTCTAAATAAACAAGGTAGAATTAATCTTAGCTAGGTTAAAAGGGGCAGTTTATTTTAGTAAGCTGGACACTACATCAGGCTTCCATCAAATCAAATTAAGTAAAAATTGTCAAGATTTAACCACTTTTATAACCCCTTTTGGTCGATTTTTATTTAAGAGACTTCCGTTTGGGATTTCTTGTGCCCCAGAATATTTTTCGATCTTGTTAACTAAAATTCTAATTGGAATAGAAGGTGTAATTAGTCATATTGATGATATCTTGATTTTTGCTGCGACTATTGAAGAACACGATAAAATATTAAACGAAGTTCTTTCTCGAATAGCTGCTGAAGGGATTACATTAAATAACGATAAATGTGTATTTAGAGTTAAATCCTTGCAATTTTTAGGTCATCAAATTTTTGACAAAGGTATTTCTATTGATCCAGACAGAATTTCTTCAATAAATAAGTATCCAGAACCAACAAACAAAAAAGAATTGTTACAATTTTTGGGAATTATTAATTTTTCTAGTCGCTTTATTCCTAATCGTTCAGAAATTTTAGAACCACTAACTTCGTTGTTAAAGAAAAATGTAATTTTTTGTGGGGTGTTTCTCAAAAAGAATCGTTTGGGACAGTTAAACACTTATTACAAATTAGTCCTTGTTTAGCGTATTTTGATCCTTCTAAGAAGATTTTTATTTCTGCAGATGCTTCGTCGTAAGGTTTGGGTGCATGTCTCATGCAATGTAATGAAAACAAAAAAGAAATTATTGCCTATGCTTCTAGATTACTCTCACCTACTGAAAAAAGATATGCTCAGATTGAACGCGAAGCACTTGCATTAACTTGGGCAGCAGAAAAATTTCGAGAATATATCACCGGAATACGAATAACTTTTGAAACTGATCACAAACCATTAACTCAAGTTTTACAAACAAAACCCATAGATGATTTAACACCTCGTTTACAGCGTTTCAGAATTAGATTAATGAGGTTTGATTATGAAATTTATTATGTACCAGGAAAAAATCTAACAGTAGCTGATGCGTTATCAAGAAATTTTTCAGGAGATTCGCGTAGTCCAGAGGATGACGAGTTGGCTCATGAAACGGAGGCACATGTTAATTTGATAGTACAATCTGTTCAAGTAAAACCATACTTTATTGAAGAAATTAAACAAGAACAGGCCAAAGACTATATGTCAAATGTTAAAAGATTATTCTATAACTGGGTGGCCTGCTAAGACTAAATTAGAGGAGAATATACGTCCTTACTACCAATATCAATTTGAAATTTCTTTTGTCCATGATATTTTGTTGCGAAATAATAGAATAATTATTCCTAGTTCTTTGCAGTTGAGGTGTTTAGAATTTTTACATCGCGGACATCAGGGGATTGTTAAATGTCGCGCACGAGCGAAAACGTCTGTGTGGTGGTTAGGTCTTTCTTCACAGATTGAAAATTTAATTAGAAATTGCCCTCAATGTGTGGAACATCAAATTAATTTCAAAGAACCTTTCTTAAAGGATTCTTTTCCCGAACGTCCGTGGCAAAAAATTGAACTAGATTTGTTTAAAATTGATAGTTGGTACTTAATAGTGACTGGTTATTACTCAAGATTCTTTGAAATATTGAAATTAAATAAAATGACAGAATCCGTCATTATTGCTAAACTGAAGACATTATTCAGTCGCTTTGGCATTCCTGAAATTGTAAGGTCAGATAATGGTCCACAATTCCAAAGTGAATTTAAAAAATTTGCTTATGATTATGATTTCCATCACATTACTAGTAGTCCTTACTTTCCTCAATCTAATGGTTGCATTGAAGCGGCTGTAAAAATAGCCAAGAGTCTTATTAAAAAAAATCCTGGTGGTTTAGATTTAGCTTTATTGGCTTATCGTACTACACCATTAGAGTGCGGATATAGTCCTTCCGAACTTCTCATGAATAGGAAACTACGGTCACATTTGCCTATTTTGCCAAGTCAATTAAATAAAGATGTTAACGCTAAACTTGTTTTTAAAAGGGAGGATAAGGCTAAAGATACAAGTATTGACCAGTTTAATAAAAGACATAGGGCCCGAAATTTATCAGAACTGAAACAAGGCGACAGTGTTTGGGTAATCGACTTACGAATATATGGGAAAATAATAGATGTCTTAAGAGAACCACGGTCATACATGGTGGAAACTAATTTTGGAATCTATCGGCGTAACCGATATCATTTAGTTCCAGCTCCTTATTATATTTTATCACCTCCGCTCATTTCAACATTGCCTCAGCCTCAGCCTTCTGAAAATAGTGTCAACATTGATTCAAAATTAATGAATAAAAGTTCCAGAGAAGTCAGCACCAATGTCACTACAGGAATTCATAATTCATCTGATAATGTTGTGTCGTCACCTCCATGGTCTGTTCCTCCTCTGCGGCGGTCAACTAGGAATTCAAAGAGGCCTGCTTATTTGAAAGACTACGTAACCTAGCTTAAAATGGGGATGTTGTGTTAGCAGGCTGGGGAGAGGAAAAAACAACAAGTGAATAGAATAACAAGACGAATTGTGAGAGTTGTCAATAAATACAATTTTTCTCTTAACAAGATCTTTTACTGATAAAACATTTTCTAATTTACTACATATATATGACGCGTTGGAAACAATGTTGTTTATGTGGTCGTCATTTACCTACTTTCTCTTCCATAAAAATAATGATGTGATTAAACTGATAAGAGTGATAAGTGATAATAATAATCCATGGACTACTGATAAAATATCGATCATATCATTTGTGCAAGTGAGCTGTGTCTCAGTGTCCAGCAATGGAAAGTTTTCAAAATGAAATCCTTCCAGTGCAGTCTTGCCAACTCGTTGAAAATTTGACAGCAGCTATCAAAAACAATAATGTGGATTGCTTCAAAAAGCATTTTTCGAGGTCCTTAAATCGGGAAAAAAATGAAGCTGGTTTTACCTTACTTCAGGAAGCCATACGACACAATCGGTAAATAAGCAATGTTTCATATAGATGTCCAAATTTGACACAAACTTCGCTTCAGGAGAGATATATTCGATTATTTATTACAACTACAAGATAAGGATGATCTGGAGATTCGCAACACCTCCGGGGAAACAGCACTAAAATACGCCATTAATCATTTCCGTGAAGAAAATGACCATTTCTCGTTTGTATTATTCGAAAAAGGAGCTTCCTTAGAGGTGGACGACTGGTCCACTGCTTACCTGGATCGATTGGTTGACGCTCCTTCAAGATTAACAAAACTTTTATTATTAGACAAAGGGATTAATGCATACATCAAGGATCGATACGGCGCTACTCCATTACTGTACTCACTTCTTAATCCTAGAAAACAGCACAACGATGAAATTATAGCCACTTTTTTATGTTGTGGGGCTGATCTATTCGATAAATTTGGAGACAACGCATTTGAACTTGCTGTGGAATATAAACAAACTGATTTTGTCCAAGAACTTTTGTTTTTGTACACGTTTGATGTACATTTACCTTGTGACATCATGTTTAAGACTTTGTTAATACTTGCAAAGCAGAAATCGCCGCTATTCCACAAAATTTTTGAACACGATGTGGAATTTTTTTTTGCGACCGAAATGAAAAAGGCGGATTTTGCTGAGCTCTTATATATCCTACTTGACACTGAAGATAATTACTTTGAATTAGTTCTGGATAAATGCAATCCAATGGTTTGCGAAATTTTTGAAAAACTCGTCTTTTATAAGTCTACGCCGTGGCCGCGATCTTGTATTGGTTATTACAGAAAATACTATTATGAACGGTTGTTTGGCACAAATCTAACACTGAAAAAAATACTTTTGCTTCTCGAAAGAAGTCAAACGATAAGTCAATGTGTTGAGGAATTTATTAGTATTCTGGGAAATCGCGAAATTTTTTTTTATATAAGTAAAATGAACAATGAATCTACAACAACAGAGTTATTTATTTACTTAATATTGCACGGTCTGAAAATTAATAGCACACTTTTTAAGATTGTTTTTGAAAAATATGGTTACTGTGAGTTATTCAGACTTCTTTTACATGTGGGCACTGACGATGATGTCGAAGAGGACACCACAAGCTTACGACCCCCTAATCGTGTTCCACTTACTCCTGTATCTGATTACTACGAAAATACGTTAATGTATTTTATTTGTGATGTCGTTTCCAATGTAGATATAATTCCAGAAAAATTTAAGTATGCTGATAATAACGATCTTTTAGATTACTTTGCGTGCCCCAATCTGCACAAACTAATGTCGATACTTCCACAAAGTAAAAAACTCCCTGATGACATCCTAGAAAGAATCAAAAATCATCCCCGCGTGCCTCTTCTGGTTGAAATAAGTAGGGATGCTTTCAGGAAACACTTTATTAATAAATTGAATATAAAAACTACAAAGCAATTTTATTCTCTTCTTAACGGGCTTCCTCTCAGTACCACTCATAAAAAAATTATTACCTTCGAGACGAAACTGTATCATCCTTGAAATATAAACACTAATTTCAAGAATTTGCTTTCTTGTTATTTAATTGGTAAATATGATACTAGATTTGTGTCCCAGTGGCTAGAATAACGAAACAAGAAAATTTCATTTTAATTGTATTTAGCTTTAGTTTTAGTTTATAATCATTTGTATTATTATATGTATTATACTTAAGACCACAGACCTACACAATTCTTAGATAGATATCAAATAAAGGGGTTTCTCCCGTTAATAAAAGAATGTTTTTTATGTAAACTTGGTTATTTTTTATTTCACACTATTTCAAAATTACAGTACCTACTACAGGTAAGATTTCCTTTTAGATGCAAAATATTATGACCCTGTAACTGTGGTTTATCAATGCACTCAATGTTTCATAATTTTTCGTTTCTTCAATTTATTGGTTCTTATTTTACATTTTCCCGATTTTCAATTGTCATTTTCACGATTTTATATCACAATTTTTCGTTCTTTATCTTTATTTTTTTAAAGTTTCTTTCGACAAATCCAGAAATAAATCGAAAAATTAAAGGTCGAAAAACTGAAAAATCGAATTAATGAAAAACGTTTTAAAATCCCCTAATCGAAAAATGAAAAAAATTCTAAAATCTTAAAATGGAAAACGTGAAAATTTTTAACAATTATTATTAGAGAGCGGAAAATATGCAGCAAAATTTTGAGAAATATGATCATATGATATGCACCAAATTTATGCAAATATGCAGCAAATTTCTTAATATATATAGAGATATGCAGTTGCATATGCTCCAAAAATTAAAAAAAAAGCTTAATAAGCGAACTAAATTTATTTATAAAATTAAAAAACAGCTTTCCCGAGCTTACGTTTTATTACAAAAAATACATAAATTACATTGCAAAGTGTTTAATTACATCCCACTAACACATAAATCACGTTTTTAAAGCTAATATTCTTATACTAAAACATAAATATAAACAGATCAAATTAAAAAATAGTAGTAATCCACTATTTAATTACTATTTGGCAATAAAGATTATATTATTATTATTATTATTATTTTGGTAACAATTTATTTTTAGATATTTTTTGAAATATCGTAACAAAAAGTTTTTGTGGTGATTCTAAAGTAAATGTATTTGTAAATGGAAAAACTGCGTACTACGTCCACAGATGTAAAAATACTTACCGGTTTAGGGCAGGCGCGACAAAACACAGTTCGTTCTTGAAGAATAAGTTCAGGAAAAGGTTTAATTTATAAATTAATTTGAGTTATCTTCGACATATTGATACACCTGTATTCCTTTAAATGCTTTCAATACAAACTTACGATGAAAAATAATAGTATAACGTCCCTTCGACCACCACTGATCTTACCATTAATACACTTAATTAAAGAAAAATATTCGGAATGAACGGTATTTTCAAAAGTAATTATATTGGGCGCGAATTTACCTGGAAGAATGGAGGTGTCTCCAAACTACCATAAAACCCAAATCATTTCTAGTTATTTGAAACTCAGGACAATATTTGCAATATGATTCATAAAATTTCGTCTTTCTAGATAAATTCCGACAGAATGACAATAATTTTTTTTTTTTCAAATTAGCACAAAAATTGATAAAAATGCAAAATATGGACCCGTTTCGTGAAATATGCAGCAGAAGGCAAATATATGCAAATATGGAATTTTTTTATAGCTGTATTCATTTTTAATTAGCATGATTCGTTCACATATTAAATATCAACACTTGTATGCAAAAAATAACGGATATGCAAATTTCATAAAATCCGCTCTCTAATGATTACACATTTAAAATGAAAATTAGAAAAATTGCGAATTAAAATTTAAAGAATTGAAAAATCCAAAAATTGAAAATTTTCATATTGAAAAAAGGAAAACTATAAAATGAGAACATCGAGAAACCGAAAAATTAAAGGATAAAGGATATAACAAACCGCGACGAAAAATCGCATATTGAAAAATCGAAGAAACGAAAAACTGAAACATTGAAATTGAAAAAAAAAAACATACAATCGGAATACTGAAAAATCGAAACGAAAAATTGCAAATCGAAAATTTGAGAAATGAAAAATTAAATGATCGAAAAACTGAAAAAATTAAAATTGAAAACTTCCGAAATTTTAAATCCAAAAATTGCAAAATCTAGAAATTGGAAAATTCAAAAGTTGAAAATTTTTTTCTTAAAAACTTTAAAAACTGCAAATCGAAAATGTTATTTACGTCACTGGTTTTAACTATATAGAGCTTATCTACCAGTAAACAAAAATTGCAAATTGTTTTATAATGTTTCACAGAAGCATGATTTGTTGGACTCGACTTGAGGGGCGAGGAAAGTTCAAAATGTCACAGATATCGGACCCTACAGAATGTTTGACTAAATCATGAGAAAGTGTTTCTAGCCTAACATATTATTTTGACGTGGTTCCTTCCACACTCAAAAAAAGCCGTAAACAATCTTTCTTGATAAGTTGGCAACAGTGGTTAGGTTTCTGTAATAAGATGAGTTCATCTGATCTCTTCTGAAAGAACAACTCTCACAGTAATTTTCCAGATTTTCCTCTTCCAGTCAACAAATAACCAACTAGCAGCGATAAAATATGTCGCTAAATAATAACACCCTGATCTTCCTATTAAATCTACATTTCCTGCCATAGAAGGAAATCCGCCATTCCGCTTCTTATAACGAACCTCGTGCTCATTACGACTTTCGCGGTCGATAAATAACGTGCAATTAGAATATTTCCATCGAACCTCTTCCTAGTGAGCGAATTTTTTGCCACACGAGAACAACACGACGTAAAATCAAAGTTAAAAAATCTCCCATTTAAAACTTGACAACTTAACTCCGGCTCCTAATAAACGAACGTTTAAAAACTCGCCATAATTTATCGCGCCAATGAAAAATTACGTAATTTAGTGCTAGGCATCATTTTGAGTCATTTATTATAGCACTGCTAATTCACCACCTATACTTAAACTTAAACCAATTAAGTTATTTGTTACTTCTGTTTTTGATAATGCGATACCTACTCCTGTAATTTTTTTCGTTCTAATGGATACGTAGCGAGTGAACATTTCCTGGAATTTTCTTCAGAGTGCAAGCGCTAGTTTGAGTAATAGTTCATGGTTAATGGCTCCTGTCCGACTCAATATAAATCTATAGATTTGGATCAGTAATTACTACAGTAAGCTTGGCACGTTCGTTCCATTCAGACTAAAGACTTGATGCTTCTGCTGCCAATAATTACGGATAAGAGGTCACCGCTTTTGCGCTCGTAGGGGAAAGTGGAGCAAAGCAACGGGCACAAAATAAAAATATTTCAGGCATGTCCACATTTATTACGGCAATAATTACCGCCAATTAATAAAAGCTCGCAGCCCGCGACTTTTGACGTATCGGCGGTGATTACGCTAACAATGCAGGAAGCGAGTACAAACATTTAGATTATTGCCGAGATTAGCATCGACAGTTCTTCATCTGCATTGGTAATAACTTAAATTAAGACAATAAACCATTTGCCGGGCGAGATTACCATCGCCGGGTCGCCCAAAAATTATGAAAACTTATTTATTTAACAATTTTATTATTGGATGGGTTCGCGGCAAAATTAGCATAACATGCATATTAAGTAATCGTAACGGTTTAGTGCGTAGGTCTGGCGGTCAGCGTTTGGTGATTCCAGGTATTTGCTGATTTATGTAAAAATAATCGCAAGAGTGGGCTTCTGGTCAGGTTGCAAAGATTGTTGATTAAATTGCGGTTTTCGCCCGGGATTTTTTGTTTGTTTTTTGAATTCCTCATTTGGAACAATTTGTGGACAAGCGTTGAAATGGATAGCTGTAAAGAGGTTGCTACTTTACGAGCGTGTTTTTGAGTCATTTTCATATTTTTAGCAGATGATGACATTCGGGACGAAATTCTGTTGTACCTGATTTTAGTGCATTTTTTAGGAGGTTGTCCGTTAGAATGTTTGTTTTGCGGAAACGGACTAAGATGAAATCGAGTCCTTTGAAGTTTTGACGACAATTTTATTGCATTTTGGTAAAGTTAAGTTATGTCTTTATTAAATAGGCGGCACTTTTTTGTAAAGTTTCAAGAATCTATTTTAGGAAAGAACTACTAGTTGAGAAAGTAGTCTCAGATTGCAGTATCGGGCCCAAAATACTTACTACTTTTCATGGTTAATACTACTTTTTACCCCCAAATACAGGGTGTTTTTGAAATATACGAACAAAAAAAAATCGGAAACTGCTAGCAGTCAAAATAGCGATTTTCAAAAATTATTCTTTGGAGATTATATATAATCCTGCAGAATTTACCGCTAATACTAATAACTCCGATCCTCAAAGTATCATCTTTAACATCTTTTTCAACCCAAATTTGAAGAAAATGCTCACCAAGGAATCCTAAATTTAGTCTTTTCTAATTTTAATTATCTTGTTGACCTTCTGACTTTTCTCTTGTCAATAAAATTGATGCTTACCATCCACCCCTTTTAATAAAAGTTAACCTCAACTATCAAACCCCTATGGTCTTTCCTCTTAATAATGTTATTGAACAATACACCTTCAAAAAAGCTAATTATCCCCTGCTGTATGAAAAACTAACGTCCTGTGATTGGAACATTCCCGACTCTTTCTCTAATATTGATCAAATTTGTTCGTTATTCTACAGAGAGTTATTTCAAATATTTGATTTATCGGTACCAAAAATTAAATATAAATGCATCCGTCGTCATAAATACCCACCATGGTTTAATAAAGTAACAATAACTCCTTAAAAATTAAAAATAAGATTCATGGGATATACCTACCTAAGTACCTACACTGCGTTTCAAATAAAATGCACCACCTAGAGCGAGTAGACGTAGAATGTTGAAACTTGGTGGAGAAGACTGCTGCACATAGACAAACGCTTGATTAAAATTTGGAAGAAAAAATAGCAATAGCCCCGCCCACTCATTCCTTGTTTATTCCAGTGATCAAAATCAGCCTTATCTTAAGAAATACTGGTCCCGCCCACTCGCCCTCGATTTTCTTAGAGGGTATGTAATTTTCCACAGTTTTAATTATAAGTTTAACTTTTTCCTACAGTCTTTTATAAGTAAGCAATAGCTTATATATAATTATATGCTCTTTTGTAGAGTGAGAATGGGAATTAATAAAATGTAGAATGTTAAAAAAAAGCGTTATTGGTAATTTTTTGTTATACTATTTGATATAAGATTTGTTTCTTATTTCAGAAGAAACATT